TGCAAACTTCATAAATAAAAATGAAACAAAATTAACCTGAAAATTTAGTGTATGCATTCAAACTTCAAAATACATTCACATACTTGCCATATTTCACTTTAGTGACCACCTTAAGACGAAACAGTAAGATTGACAAAGAAAAAAATATTATGCACTCAAATGAACACAAAATATCTACACTGTGGATACAAATACTAAATTTGTGGATACAAATACTAGCTTACTAAAACACACCTTCAAGATCATCTTATTAGTGAAGAATTTCTGGTAAGGAACCTGATTTTTCTTTTGCTGATAAATATTGAATATATCTACTAAAAAGTTTGTAACAACAAAATTTGACAAAAACATCTTTCCACCTCCACCTGCTCCCATCTGCTAACATAGCAATTCTATATTGAAAAAGTACTAGACTGAAAACATAAATATTGATTAGATTTAGTATTAATTTGTAACTCATTTGATTGCATGGATGTCAATGTACACATTTCACATTAAAGTGGTGGATCATGACAGATCATTTTTTGTTAGCAGTAAGAATGAGAAACTGAAATAATCAGGTTTTTTTTTTTTTTGTCACAGAAACAACTTTCATCAGCTTTTTTTTTTTTTTTCAAAAAAAGTTTAAAGTATTTTTCTAGGCTATTTCATTTCAGAAATTCTCTGCACCTGGAACATTTACATAAACTACATGAGTCGTTCTTTCTACATTGGGAGTATTAGGTCTTTTTGTGAATATCTACTTGTGAATGATAAAGACAATAGTTCTTCATAGGAGACAGGAAGTAACAAAGTGACCAACTAGCAGAATTGAATGTAATATTACAAAGAAGGTGTTAATGGATGGAGCAGTGGATAGGTGAGATGACTGTTTTGCTAGACTTGAAAAAATTCTGAAAAGTAGCCTTGCTTGCTCATTTTGGCTGTAAGATAGAGCCTAGAGACTTTTATTACACAGGAATCAAAAGTTATCTATTGCACTACAAATAGGTAAGGATCTAACTTACTACTGAGGGTTTTGTCTGGTTCAGTAACTAAACAATGAATAGCAGGGAAGGGACAGAAAACAAGGAAGTAAAGTAGAGTGTTGAAGCAAAATCTAAGGAGTGAAAGGAATGAAGCAGGAAGATGGAAAAAACCCCACACTCTCATCTTAAAAGTACTATAACAAGTTCTTTAGGATCCTTTATGATCAAAGATAACACTGGAAGAAACTTTGCACATAGAAATGAAAGAACTGAACTGATGATCTTGCAAAGTGAAATACTCTGAACATCTCTTGTCACTGAAATGAACTCCTGGCAATAATTAAAAACCTGTTCTTGGTCTTCTAAATCTGCCTCCTTTGACTTTGACACACAACATTCCCAAAAATTAAGTACTGATTACATCATTTATGTATGGAGAAGTGAAGACTTCAACTTGAAAACTGCAATTTTCTTTTTTATTCATATGAACCCCCTAAGAGTAGAACAAAATTCAAAGTTTGAAACAATGCCTCAGTCATTTGCTCTGGATATATTCTATTAAGTTATCTGAAGCTTTAGATCAGAAATTTTACACTGTTAGCTTAAAAAACCATCAAGAATCAACATTAATGCAAATATAAAAAATTCTCAATATTTGTAAAAGTATTTTACCCTAGGTAGCCCTACTGCTTTTGTGTCTGAAAAGAACATTGCATTTTACTTCATGAAGATGCCAACCACAAACACAGACAAAATCATAGTGAGATCTTAGAATCTCAGCAATGGAATGACAAGAAAAACTTGTAAGCCACACTGTGTCATCCTAAGCTTCTGTGAGTATTCAGCAAATTCATCTAATCATGTTAAGAAAGCCATGAAACTTTTAAACAATCAAAACTATATTGAACAAGATAAAAATATGTCACAACCACTATAAACTGTACAGCTGAGTGACTGAAAAGCGAGGACTGTTAGTGCAGTTTTCCTCTGAGTAAAACTTGATTGCCTCTATATGCGAATCCATCTACTACAAATATGGTTTAAATGCTCTTTGTGCAGTGGTCGATTTTGTTTGACACTCAAATACAATTATAGAGAACAAGAAAGGTGTTCTACAGAGATTCATTAAAAGCTGACAAAAGCTGGTTTGCTTCATCTTGGGTATGTACCTAATCACTGACATAGAGTAATCCCAATAGCAATTTGTCTTAAAAAGTTCCAACCTACCAAGAAATAGAATTACTTTTTTTACAGGAAATTACATTTATGAAAACTGATTGAAATATCCAGGTTCCAACTCAATATTTATCATTTAGTACTTTGTTAAAAACAGATATTTTCAGAAAATGTGGATGGCAAGTTGTAAACAGCAAAGCAAATTTGCAATTAAATGTTGTATTTTGTCTACGTGATCTGGTTGTGTACATAAACAACATTATGTCTTCCAAAATATGATTATGAAAAGGTAAAATCTTCTAACAGATCAATCAGGAGCATTAGTAATGTGTTCTCCCATACCTTTTCTCCAATATCCTCATGCATTAGTAACCTGCTACTTACATTCATTTAACAGAGGTGCTCCCGTCATTGCAGAAGCTTGATTTTTTTTTTTTTCCCCTGAGACACGCAGAGCTTTGTGTTATTCAGCAAATTCAGTAAGAGAGATGCAAGGGTTCATGTACACTTAGGACAAAAAAAAATGCAACAAGAAAACGGTACAACAAAATAAACTGGAATATTCAGTTGACAAAGAAATATAGTGCCACTTGCTCTGTGGCTAGACCACCACTCCAAAAATAAGCATAATCAAATAAACAATTTTTTTCCTCTGACACTTCCTCTTTGTTTCATGCCATATATGCATGTTTTCGAGCCCTGAAAAGAGTTCCTAAACCAGCAAATGAGCATATTGAAAAGATACACACTTGCAGATTAAAGAAGCAAAATAAACAACCTTGGAACATCCCCTGGATGCTGAATTCTATTTACTTTTATTCTCATTACTGTGTGGGGAAGAGGCCAGTATAAATTTAATTCATACTGCATTATTAGAAAGCCAGGATCCAGAAGGAAAAACTGAACAACTGAAGACATTTGCACACACTGATAATCTTGAAGAATTTGAACAAACCACATTTCTTGATAAATTCAGATGATGTCTGAAAACTTGAGGATACCGTAAATGATTGAACAAAAATATAATGGGTAATTTCTTTGGTTTTTTGAAAGTAATACATAAAATGAACCAAGAAGGGTCTAAGTGGTAAAGAAGCTTATGTACAAAATTCAACCTCTAAGAAATAGGAACAGATGCCATCACCTGTCAAGTTTATTTTCCAGTATGGTTTTTTTGTTTTATTTTATCTATATCAGCTTGTAACAAACTACCATCAAATACACGACAGAAAATCTAACCTAGCTAGCTGTTGCATGGCAATTCCTGTTATAAAGTGGTGTGGTCTCACTCATTTTGAACAAAACCTGATTCTGCAGTCATACATGAAAAGCAAATCTCAACATGAAATACCAAAGCATGATCTAATTATGAAATGAGCTTGACTCCACTAATTGCCCAAACACAGTTTCAGATTTTCAATCTGTTTCAAACTTCCAGTACATTCCTTCTATAATCTCCGAATCTCTCAAGACAGTCTAGAAGACTGCATTCTGCTTCGTGACAGACAGGCTTTACTCCTTCCCATTGTGACCAACTTCCTGAAAACATACAGGTATCATCTAGAGCTATTTTCAGCAGAGCTGTCTCTGACTTATGCCTGTTACTAGTCACCTTTGGTTTTCTTTGGACAGTTTTATCATCAGGCATAAGGCTCAGTGCAGTTTCTCTGTTTTGTCTTGCTCTTCTGCTCTGAGCACTGTAATGTAAAAAGCTCCTCATTTTTATCTTTAAGCCATCAGACAAGAGACAATTTTTTAGGAAAAAAGTGAAGGAGATGCTTACAGACAGAATTCGCTGAACAATCTCAAGAAAAGTAGACTATGCAATGAAGCTCAAGTTTGCTGTCCATCAGAATAATTTTGATGCTATTACAGGGAAGGTAAGTACTGCATAAAACAATCCCATAGGTTAAACCAAAATATTTCTGCGGAAGGTTGCCCATAAATCTTGTTTGCTGACAGAAAAGAATGAGACAGTAGGAGAGAAGAACTAGCAGATGCTGGCAATCATTTCAGCAAGCAGAATAATCTTCAAGGATCATGAGTTAGATAAGGAAGAATGTTATTATTTGCCATCTGCTACTGGTTTATTATTATGTCAGCATCTGGTGCCACAGAAAGATCTCTGTGATGTGAACGCACAAAGCAAATTTAGACAGTTTTCTTCTGCTGAACGGAATTCTGCTGAAGGTAAACATTACAGGCCTTGCCACTGGTCAATTTGCTTAGTTTTTGACGTATGCTACTTAAAGCCTGATAAAAAGTAAACATATAGAGTTCACCTCAATGATTAAATAGTATAGTCTAATCACTAAGAAGTGAATAATAATCCCACAAGGTTGGCATTAAAACTTTCTTTCTATTAAATTTTGGCTGTTTTTTTTCCAAATGTCAGGCAGCAAATATCTAAGTTTGAGCAAAGCCAGTTGGTTTGAAAGTCTTAAACTAAACAATAATAAAGTGGGGCACAGATCTGCCCCAGCCCAGGCTAGAAATTTGCACATATATTTTTTTGACAAAATACTGTTTGCTTAATGTTGTTACTCAGTGGCAGGATTATCTATGTTCCTGGGGATACTGAAGGACACTAAATACATTTGTGGTACTAACATTTCATATTCATGATGGGTATTGCAAGAGATAACATGAAACTTCAGTAACCATAAGGTGTTGGTGGCCCCACAGGTTAAACTGTGCACCAGTACACGTGGAACGAGCTACACTGCCCTGCATTTATCTAGTATGTAGAATGACACAACCCTTGCATGCGAACCAACCTTGTTCAGCAGAGGCAAGACATTAATCTGATAGATTACAGGGCTGAGCATGGAGCTTGCAAGGCATGAATGTACTTACTTTTGGTGTTGGGCAGGATGCAGTGGAGAGGCGAGAGGTGGCTTGGGCACGAGGAGATTCTGAAGGAGTAGTACTGAGGGAGGCTGTATCACGTGGGAGGACCTGAACACCACGAGAGATGATGGAATCTGGAATCTTAAAGAGAAGACAGATGGAATTAATAGCAAAAAATATACTGTATGTGAAACTTACTCAAAACCTTACCTCAAAAACGCAGGAATACCCCACTCCTCACTTTGCACACCTCCTTATACTCCAGTGCTTGGCAGTGGTTAATGGCATACTCTCCTAATTTCAGTAACAAATGCCTAACAAATATATAAGGTCACATTCTAACTGAAGTAGCATAGAACACACTAGTTGTTCTGAAAAAACTATGAATCAAACATACCATAACAGGAAAGAATAAGAAAATAATGGTTTCCTCTTAAACCTTTGTTTCAAACTCAACAACGACCAAGTGATTTCTACCATGGCACTAAGGGAGGCAGATTTTGCATTCACTAACTAGGGGGCAATATTCTAAAAGGAAAACCATTTGCTAGAAATTTACTGAATCCCTCTAAAGAAATGTCATGCAATGAGAAAACTTCTCACAAGAAATGTCATGCAGTGAGTAAATACTCTTTATTCCATGAAGACTTTATTTCAGCTACAAAAATTCTCAATGTAAGGCTTGTGCTGCAAAAGCTACAGGCCTCTCTGGAGCGAGTGAAGGCAAAAGCATTAGAAACCACCATCCAAAGCCAACACTTGGTTTAAAATACATTCTGAGGGGGAAAATAAAATTTCAGTCTTTTTTTATTTCCCACATAATATATCAGAGTACCAGTTAGGGAAGCATATCCCTCCTGACAAACAACTGGCAAACTGGTAACAATGGATGAGGAAAAGGCTGGGGAAATCAACAACTTTTTGCCTCAGTCTTCACTGGCAGCCCCTCCTGCCATACTTCTTGAATGGATGGACCTTGAGCCAGAGGGACGATTAAGCCCCACTCTAAGGATGATCAGGTTCATGACCACCTGAGGAACCTGAACATACATAAGTCACTGGGACCTGATGAGATGCATCCCAGAGTCCTGAGGGAATAGATTAATGTAGTTGCTAAACCACTGTCCATGGCATTAGAAAAATCATGTCAGTGAGATGAAGTCCCAGGTCAGTGGAAGCAGGGAACATTGCATCCATCTTAGAAGAGGGTAGAAAGGAGGAACTGGGAACTACTGACCTGTCAGCCTCAGCTCTGTGCCTGGGAAGATCACAGAACAGATCCTCCTACAAGCCCTGTTAAGGCACATGGAGGACAGGGAGGTGATTTGAAGCAGCTAGCATGGCTTCACTGAGGGAAAATCCAGGGAAAATTCTACCACAGCTAACCAGAAAATACAGACATTCAGATCTTTGAAGGCATATACATACACATACATATTTTAAGATCTTTCTCCTCATTAAGAATTTCTTCATTCAGCCTGATATTGAAGTTCTAAGAGAAGGATCAGAAAAACCCCCAAGTCTGGGGAAAGTGGCAGTAGCAGACAATAAAAGGAAGCAAGAAAGGAAGATCCAGTGACAAGCCAAATCATGAATGTTGGGAATTTCCAGACAGGATTTTTTTAATAAATGGAGATGCTGTTACCCAATCTGTATCTAGGCATTTTGAGCATTCTTGCCTATTAAGGCTTCAGGGCAGATAGAAGCCACTGGGAAGTATGGCTTCCAGGAACAAGCTTGAATCCTAGCTTTTAGATAGGTTACATCTCCATGTAACATAGCTGTTACATTATTAAGAACATTAAGAGAGCTTTGTTGCTTGTCTTAGTGAAGTTAAAGTGACCAATCCTAATACTTGTGTCATGAAATACATGTCATTTCCTACTTCCTTGGTTCCCCTCTATAAATAATGACTATGTCTAACTTAGCAACCTTGACTCAGAAATACTGGGTTACACCTAGGGGCCTCCTCCTCATGTTAAGAGTTTCTTTTGTTTATAACTTGTTTTAAGTTGTGTGAAAACAGATTTTCTTCTCAGAGTGCCACCAACTGCCTCCTTTCTGCTCTACCGTGTTCCTAGACTGTTTTTTGCCAGACAGTTACTGTCTGCTCTCCTCAGAGGATCTTTCAAGGCTAAGCACTTCATGCTAAAATTTCCACGTAAATTCTGAAGTCAGCAGAGTTTCTTTTCACTATGGACACTTACGCTGGGGATATCTTCCTCTTCAGAAACAGTGCCTAACGAGTCTCTACATGGAGTATTCTGATTTGCAAATCACATTTCAGAGATGTATCTTAGAGGAAAGTGAATCAATGATATTCCAAATTCTCAAATGGTTTGTAGTCAGAAGCATGATTTCCCTTCTGTTCACTTTTTCTCCTGAAATCCCATCTTAAATTCATCAAAGCCCAAAACCGGCTGACAATCCCCAAGATTTATATTGGCATAGATACTCCCTACATGTTTCAATGCTTCTTTTTAATGTCCCTGCCTAAAGAAAATACAGCAAAAAGTACACTTTCAGAAGGGCATAAAATAAAAGAAGACAAAGTCAAAGAAAGAACAGTTTTAAGGTTTCAAATAAGATACCTTTTGTCTACTCTCCTGTGATAAAAAGCTGCATGCATCTTGATATGATTGTGCACGGGTCCATTACCCCTTTTATGTACTCCTAGACCCCACAATATGTATAACAATATTGCTTTTGGAAATGACACCATGATTCAGTTCTCCTGCGGTTTACTCTGGGTACTCTAGAGTACCAGATATTTCATACTGCCTCATACCCTTTAGGCAAGAAACATTTTTATTTCCCCACCATATTGATCAATCATTACTTCTACAATTTTATCTGATATCACCTTTTTGTAATAAAAACCTCTCTCTGCAATAAAGTCAAGGAGAAAATTCCAGTTTCCCCTGAATTGTATGTGTAGTACTAATTTTTGCCTGTGAGAAAATTAAAATTTAAGTAAAATTTCAGCCATGATATTAATCAGAAAAGGAAGCTGAACATAAAGGGAAAAGATGGTCACAGGCACTTAATTTCAATAAGAATTATTTCCAAAGCACTACATAAAATGTAATTACCAGAAAATAATTAATATATAAACCTATCTAGATTGTAGAGGAAAATTTCTCACTGAGAGAATATAGTTAGGTCACAGTTCCAAATTTTGCTCTTTTTCTAAAATGAAATTGGAATGTGCTAAGTAAATAAGCACTCTTATTATTCTCTTTGAACGACTACAACCTGCTGAATTTTGTGAATCTACTAGTATGTCTATTCCATTAACAAAAACACATAAAAATATAACGTGACATAGGGAAGTTCTCATTTTTCTCACCTATATTTAGAGTGTTTTGAATTGTAATATTAAAAAACTAAATTTAGGCAATATAAGCCTCTAATCAAGTCAACTTCTTGTTAACTCTGTTAAAGAGTTTAATAAATCCATAAGAAATTTCTGTGTGTCCTGGTGCACAGGAACCTGCAATAAAGAAGGGCAGGAATGCTACTGCATTTTGGATAGCTTGTTCTTTTAACTTTCAGTAAGTCACACTGAGCATTTATGATCTGTCTCCCTAATATTTTAATTAAGTTTTCAATTTCAAACTAATTGAATACAGAGCAGAGATCTCAAAACTTTAAATGGGGTACAATGAAATTCTTATTTCTTAGCGAAAATAGTTTCTGTTTGCACTAGCTGGAGTGGAAAACCTGTTGCAACATACTGACAAAGAAAGTAATGGATGAAGTGACAGAGAAAGATATTCACCACATCCATCAGTCATGGATTCTACAATTTTTATCTGACCTGGCCTTTCTCTGGCGTACTTTTATTTTGGTTTAAATATTTGTGTTTTCACATTAGAGAACTTTGACAAGATCATTGATAAGAAAAAGGAAAAGATATGAGTTCTTTATTCTCTTTTGCTCAGAACTGAAACAAAGATTGACAATGATGGTGAGGTAAGAAAACACTCTGTAAATGGCAATTACTATGACTGTTATACAAGAGAAAAAAAATGTCTTAAAAACATACAGAAAGGACAGCTTAAAAAACCCAATAACCTGCCAAAAAACTAACCACTTTCTGCTCTGAGTCTGAAGATCTGATTTGGATTATAGAACACATAAAACAATAGCTCAAGAGTAATCTGCAAAAGAACACAGAAACATATATGACAGTTTAACAGTGTTCTTCATAGAGGCTAAATTAAGTGTTCTACTGATACTGAAGAATATCTTGAAAATTCTAGTTTAGTGACTCAACTCAAAAAAAAAAAACACCAAAAAAACCCACTGCAATAAATGTGTGTAAGTATGTATATATACTATACAGCTTTATCATCAGGTGTGTGAATTTTAAAGTCTTCACATGTCCTAAGTGACTTTTCAAGAGACACAGAATCATGTTTTAAATACAGAGGTGTTAGGCTGTTTGATTGATGGTTTAAATTACTATTTGCCTAAGGGAACAGGTCATTTTTTACCACTCATTGAAATAGTTTTTTACTATTCACCAAAACCCAGTAATTTAAAATAAGTCCACTGCTTCCTGGACTCCTGAAGTCTTCTGTTTTTGGGAAATTCTACTTCTACACAGGAAACAAAAATGAGGCAGAAACTGCAAGTGATGAAAGCAAACTGTGAACACCCAGTACAAATGCTGTATTATGTTGACAAAAAACCAGCGAAAAGCAGCAAAACAAGACAAAGAGGAAAAAGTTATGATTTCATAGCTCTAAAGCAGTAATTTTAGGAGATTATTTTAATTATATTCAATTATTGAGTACATTAGATGATAAAACCAGTGACTAATGAAAAACATAGGCTTTACAGCAATTATTACATCTCAGCAGATAAATGATTCAAAGTGACAACACACATAACCTTTACCTTGTTTAGCCCTTTATCTTAAACAGATATTTTCTGTAACATGGGCTCTCAAAGATAGCACCGATGTGTCTTTGTTAGAAGAAATAAGTAACACTGTCTGTGCACACACAGACTAGGAGGCAGGCAGAGCATTTTTAGTTAGTGTTAGTGCAAAAGCCTCTTGGAAGTGTCTCTTACCAGTTCTCCTGCACTGCCTGCTGTGTGATGGCAATAACTGATGAGACCAAGGATGGGCTGTTGACCTTTAGCCATGATAACAGCTGGACTGGTATAGGATGGATGCTTCTAATGCACAACACATAACAGCCATGAATACAGTGACAGAAAAACATGAAACTGTACAAGCAAATGACCAAAAATGAATGAGGTGAAAACAACTATGACACCGAAATGCCAAGCTCATATGAACACAGCCAGTTGAAAACTCAGGTTATTTCCTGCCTTTAAAAATGGCACATATTATTTATCTTTGCCTGCACCAAAAGAAATTAAACAATTTAATATTTGCATTAATAAAGACTGATACTTGCAAATGATAATTACCTTAATTCATCCCTGTAAAGACATATGTAATCAGGATTTTCTGTATATTGGGAGATGATCTCCAGCTGCAGCTGTCTTAGAAATGTCAAGATGTCTCAGACCTGAATTCACATTTCTGGAGTTAGAATGTTGCTGCTTTGGTTTAGCAATTGTTTAATATAATTTTGAATTACTTAGACTTTCAATTCTCATAATAGGAATTAAAAGCACAACTTGTGGACTAGATATAGAATAAAGAAGTCTGGAAAAAACTGTTTCCAAACACACGGGGATACATTATCTTTCCATTCAAAAACTAAACACATAAAAATGAGGTAAATATTTATACATCTTTTCAAATAGTACAAAAATTCTTGGGAAGATATTTAAAAGTTGAATTCAAATTATTTACAAGTGTTACCTCTTTTTCTTCATTTGCAATCTCCAATTTATTATTTTAGTTTGAGTAGTGCTGATCTATGATTACTGGTTAAAGCAAGGCTATAAAGACTTTATGGTATTTAGTTTGTTGACAGAATTTCACATCTTTTATGCAGACATGCACATTGAAATACAGTAATCAGGATAGTTTACTTCTTAAATTGTTACCTGTCTGTCATACTTTTACCAGTTTTCAGAAACTAAAATTTTAATTTCAAATCAGATATTACAGCTTGCAAAGTTTTGTTGTGATTCCTTAACATGCCGCCTACTGGACTTTGCATGTTCAGGCGTGTGAATACTTTGAATTATAAAAAGCCACTAAAACCAGTCTGTCACATCAGAATGGTATCATAAAACATATGTTAACACCAAGATAATAAATGATATTTCTCCCACTGGAATTTGAAATCACCTACCAAAAGAGAATTCATATATTTTTAGGAAGCTCTACTTCTACAAAATGTACCTGAAATAAATCTGACACGAAGACATCAATGTAGAGTCATAACATGCAAATGAACATTGGTGGAAAGTGCCTGAGACAGAAACTGAAGGGTCTCTTAAGGATAGAAGCCAGACTCACCTTAGCTGCAATGGCTGCTGCTGTTATATGTGAAGAAGAACTGTCCTCTGTTGAGGCAACTCCGCTGTCCTTCTTCTCTTCCTCCTCTTCCTCACACTGCACTCCTTTGTCTTCTGTCTGTTTGTGAGGGCTGGTTGTTGGAGGAGGAGAAAGAGGAGGTGGTGGTGAAGGTAGATCTTCGAGCTCATCGTGTACCTCCTTTACTTTTACAATGGCATCCCGCAAGAGATCAATGGCGTGAGGTAGGGCTGGCAGTATAAACTGAAAGCATTCCTATGCAGAGCAAGAAGAGAAACCACTATGAAAAGTTACCTGCACTTGCAAATGAGTTCACTCTTTCAATATATTTGGGATTTAAATCCATCTTTTCACCTGACCATAAATAAAACCTACCATGTCCTATGCAACTGCTCTTAAAAGGCAAACGAACTCGGAAACAGATCTTGTGACCATTCTATAAATTTTTGCCTTTTTTCATGCAAATACAGTAAATTGCACAACAATTGCAATGAGCTGAAAACAAGAGGTACATTTCTGTGAATACATAATACAGAAAACAGTTCACAACAACTGGCAGAATGCTACAAAAATGCAGAAGAAAAATATTAACTATATCCCTGCAGGGATATTAGCTTCAAATCCTTCCTATTATGCTCTCTCACAATTAGAGAACAATTCATAAGGGTTTTCATAATTATACTTTTATATAATTATATACTTTTTATTCATGGACTTATTCTACATACTGGAAGAATTACAAACTACACTGATTTCATTGTAATGCCATGTAACTAAAAAAATAAATCCAGAAACAAGCTAATTTTCAAACCTCTTCTTGTTCTATAATCTTACAAACAATTAGAAAGCTTATTTAATATGGCTGGAGAAAGCAAAACTGCAGATGCTGTGCAATTGCTCTTGCTCCATAATGGGCACCCATATAACTACCATGTACAGCTACCTGTGCTGCTAAAATACGCTGGTGCTTCATCAAATGAAAGCAGAAGCTCAGGACGTAATGTGCTGCAGCTGCCTGCTCTGACCAGGGTCTGTATGAAACTCAGGCTTCTTAAGGCTTATTCAGTAAAGTCTTGAAAAACAATCCAACTACAGAGACTCCACAACCCTTGCTGACAACATGCTTTAATGCTTAATTACCCTCAAAGTGTTTGGGGCTTTTTTCAGTGTTGTTTTGGTTTTCCACGTCTTTTCTTTTTCGTCTAGAAGCTACCTCATTCAATTTGTGACTGTTGTCTCTCATTCTTCTGCCTGAGGATACTGCATATAAACATTTAAATATTGGAAAATGATGGCAGGGTCACAAGAAATAATTGCCATGGCAATGCAGTCAGGAACACACAGGTTGACAGAGAAAGCTGGCAGTACTCCAGCCCTTCAGTTTGTTTGAAGCATAGGAAGATTTTTAAAAATGTATTCTGATATTTCAGATTAATCAGAAAATTAATAATAAGTTCATAAATAGATAATTACAATAAACAAACATAACTACGTAAGCAAAATAATAAGCAAAGAATCCATCAGAAATTACTGGAGTTTATATATCTCACTTTGTTAGTAAAACATGACTCACAAAAGCATTGTATTTCTTCAAAGCTTCTAAATAAGAGCACATCTTTCAGCTGCTTCTTTAAGACTAATGAATGATAAGTCAGACTACCTCATAGATATCTAAATTCTTTAAACATTCAAGTTGACAGTGCAAACAGCTGCGGTAAACCAGACGAGTGCAAATACTTTATATAATTAATGTATATTAAAACATATTTGTAAAGATAATAAAGATTATGACTTATAATGTAACTGGAAACAGGAAAGTTATTGTGCCTTCACAGTATTACATTTTAAATAGTTTAAAATAATGAAGCATACAACTATCATTACTTTAGCAAAGAAGCAGATCTCAAGTAAGTGAGAAAAGAGAACAATCTCTGAACTGACCTATAACTGTAATAATTGACTAATCAGAGAAGCATGTTACCCACTACACATAAAGCCTTGCTGGCTTGAGTGTTACTGCCCAGACTCCCAGTTAGCCCTCCAAAATCTCATGTTACATATGAAACTCATTGTTTTAGGAAATTGTTACTACAATTATAAAATGTCAAAGACTTAATAAACATCTGGTCATTTCACACTTTGCCCACTTCCATAATATTTACTGTCTTTTGCTAGACTAATAAAAAAAAAACCTCACAAAAATGGAAGATTTCTGCAGATGTGGATTCAATGGCACATGCCACCCAGATGTTCTCTGGTGAAAACATGTTTGGCATGCAGTCCATTTTTGAGGTGAAGCATTTACACTGCTGCCATTTTCCATTAATATTTTGTTAAAGAAATAGGTATACTGCTGCAATTTCATAGCTTTATATAAGCTTCTCATATGACCATATTTATACAATGGAAAGGAAATCAGAAAGTGGTAAAAGAGAAAAATTAAATTCTTGGTGACAATCTGTCCTTTTTGGTTCTTGAGATTCAGCCTTTTATGGGCCAATTTTCTCCACTCTTCATCTTAAAAGTCTTTGCTAGAATCTGAGACTTTACAGATGTCTCATACTAAAAGAGATCATGACAGGACAGAGTATCATCATGACAGGCACAAATAAAAATCAGTTTATTAGAAGCTTGCTTGTATGATGCAATCATACGACTTTTTTCTTTTCTAGCAGAATTACCTTCTTCAGGACTTACCCTATATCAAACTACTGGTAAAATACTTATTAATGCTTTTTCATTTCTTTTCCTCATTCACTTTCTGCAATTTACCTATCTCTAAAATCTGATTGCCTCGGGACTGAAAATGACAATTGCTTCTGTGGGTTAGGAGTGCTCCTGAACACAATAAAAACTATTAGATTGCAAGCTATTTCATCTCTCTCCTAATTCAGCAAAAGAAGTATTAACTTGTGAAAAAACATTCTTACTGGTGCATCATTTCTTTAAAATGGGCAGCCATTGCTATGTTAAATACATGTACATACATGTGATTTCCCATGTATAACTGGAAGACTTTCAGGAAGGTATACTCCCACCTCATCATCCTCCAATGCCTCTTGTGTGTTTTGAAGGCTTTTAAATGTCCTTTAAATTACGGTCTCACTAGATTTCCAGAAACGCTGTAAGGAATTGTAGAATCACAGAAGTGGGCTCACACTGATTCCTTGAACAGAAACACATCGACAGTGTATCTGAAAACCTACGGTGCCTGCTTAAGACCATAGTATTCAAAACATCTCCTCTTCAACTTTCAGGTGACAGCCCATATAAATGTGGTTTTGTACCTCCAGACAGAAGCCTAAGAAACAGTGACTTCAGGGCTGTGCTGCTGCACCCATCAGTACTGTCTGCTCCGTGCCTGGGCACTCCAGGTTCATCAGATGTGCACCACGAACCAGCTCTGAGAGGCCAGAGGTAAAGACATTTATTAACAAGGCCAGACATAGTCTGAGCCTGGAAGAAATAGATTCCTGTGACTGATGGGGGACCTTCCTCAGCAGTCTTGTATCAGGTTGTACAGATCACTTTTCAGCTTAGCAGTATTTCTGCAGAGAAGATTGTTTTTCTAGCAGCCAACTATGAAGAAATTAGTGAAAGATCTAGTCTTACGAACACACTCACACACACACAAATACCTGCTGGAGTTTAATTCTCTTCCTCTCAGCTATAAAGTCAGACAGACAGCATGAATAAAGACAAAAATTCTAAATTCCCCATCCAAAAAGAGCAAAATGCAGGAAGAAAACAAAATTTATAAAGGGTGAAAAGTCTGATATACACATATAGAGAAGATTAAAAAACATTCTCAAACTCTTAAAAAAATTATTTATCTTTCTTTCCTCTTGCTGATCAAAACTGCAAAAGCTCCAGCAAGATCTACCATATACTATCTATTCATCTTATTTCTGTATAAAAGAGAATGATTTCTTGGAAGCTGGAGGCAACCCTGAGATAAGGTACAGCTAATTAGAGAAGAAAGGGAAAGTGTAAGAGATCCTTAGACTCTTCACTGCCTGCTCAAGTGAGTGCTCTCTTGCACTACATGTAATGCTGTTCTGGTCACACAGCGCCTTCAATGAGATTGGAGCTGTATGGTCCTGGGCTAAGAGTGATGGTGTGGTAACTTTACATGAACACGCATTTCAATTCACTTTTTGTAAAATTTGTTATAGTGGGCACATTCTACCATTCCAAACAAGGAGAAGTGCTCATCATAGTTCCTTCCTAGCAGATCAGTAAGAACATTTCTTACCTGTGACCCTTTCTTGCTACCTGGAAGATTAATAATGAGAGTTTTCCCTCTGATTCCACACACAGGCCTGAAATGAAAGAAACACAGACTGAAATTCTTGCATGCAACTATCTCCACTATCAAAACAAAAGGAAAGCATTTAAGATAAACTCTATGATTTATCCGATTTTGTAAACTTAATTTCCAATATATTTGCTGATTATGTTCTCAAGAAAGAAACTGGGAGAAGCTGAGGTGAAAAAGCATAAAACAAGGTTGATAGGGTCTAACATCAATTTATAGTATAAACACTGGCTAGATTTCCATCTTTATTGAGACCTGTGTATCTCCCTTAAATCTACTGTTGACTTGTGTCCAATACATTATTTGATATAGTCCCCATTTGGTCATACACATGGTTCCTTTGCAGTGTAATTGACCGTGTCAAACATTATGTCCCTGGCCAGGTAAAAATACTAAGTAGTGCCTGTTACATTAATTCAAATAGGTCCTTTCTATTTAAAGATTAAACATAAGAAAAGCAGAGAAGGAAGTTACTCTCAGGTGAAAATTGTATTTATGCAATTCATATATAATTCTTCCTAATAGTTTTCCCCTCTTCCTCAAGAAAAGGCAAGAACAGCTGTCAAAGATGGAGCTTTTATTTTTTTGTCTTTTAGAAATTTCTTTGGTGTTGATGTAAGGCTGAACACTCAAGAGCTCTAAGTTTTCTATTGGCTAGAGTTGGCTATTCAACATTTTAGCTAAACATTAAAAAAAAAGGAAACTAAATTACAGAATATTGTCTTCAGGTTGAAAAGAGTGCTTCCACTGTTTACAAAAGCCAAGGTGAAATACCAAGGGCAGGGATATAAGGATAAGAAAAATGTAAAAGGACAAAACTAAGCCATGAAAATATGGAGGTTACAGTTCAGAGAAACTGTATGACATTCTCTTTATTGAATTAAAACCTGAGCTATAAGTCAAGATAGAACAGAAAATAAAATAATTTCCAGTTATGCCATGGTCGCATGGCATTTTTTAACAGGGTAAGAAGTATTTCCATGACAGCTGGCACAATGTTCACAAGTAAATAGCACAGAGAAGAGGCACACCTTTGTGCCACTAAATGAACTTTTGATACCACACTCAAGCCAGCCTGAAGTGTTGTTTTCAAATGGCACTTTGAGCATTGCATGACTCCTAGCCTCTCTTTTCTCATATTGCCTTCTTTCACACTATGTACCCCCAGTTTAGAAAGAATTCCAGCTGAGGAATCTCCACTGCAGCAGAGATGAGCCTGAATTAAAGAAATGTGTTAATTTACTCCTGTTGCAGTAGTCAAGCTTACAGAGCACAAACTCAATCCAGCAAATCCCATATGTGGGTTACCGTTTATGGCAGACTTAAAACAAAGGAAACAAGAACTGTCCACAGAGCGATAAAAATGGAATAGTGGAATTGTGTTTGGCAGACAGCTCATTTAGTAGTCATCTTCTTGGCTCTTCTACTCTGCTTAAAATATTTTTTGAGCATTATAAGCTAAATGTCCGGTACAACGAACCAATAATCAAAAAAGGACTAAACCAACTGCACGAAACTCAAATTTCAGCTGCCAATAATCAGACTTAGTGGCTCAAGAGAGAAATGGAGCTGCCAAAAATTCTCAAGAGATCATGCAAAAGTAAGTAAAAGTGCTTAAGAACTGCATGGCTGACAAAAGTATTGTGTGCACTTTCAAGAAAACCACACAGACTGCGCATGCGTTCCAGAGACTTTTAGAGAAAAATCAACAGTATTCCTCCAGATCTAGGGTAGTACAAAAAACATTTGTCTTTAACAAAGGGATTTTTTTGCCAAGCAAAGCATTTTAATACTTGATGAACAACATACAGAAAAATTCTTCACTCACCACCAAAATACTACAGTTCTAGAATGAAAAGACGGCTATTTAAGAATGTGCATCAACATTACAAATAACCTGGCACAGAAAATACAGGAGGATACAGCCTCTAATAGGAACAACATAGGGAATTTAATGAGACAATGCAATTACCATGATATGAATTTGGCCCATTCACTGAAGTTAAGACTTCTAGTCTTGATAACAATGGCAGTCTTCAATGATTTGGGCACAGCCATTGGATAACAATAAGTAATTCTAGGGAAAGAGTTCACCCTATATTTTGAAGGCAGTAGTCTTACCTAGAGAGCATGCCCAGAGGTGTAACATTAAGTGATCCCATCAGCATTGCCAGGGCCATCCCCGGGGCTTCTCGCTCTATTACTTCTTTAGTGGCCTGCAATCAAAGATTAAATAGCAAACTGAGTGAACAAGTGGAAGGACAAGACAAAAATGAAACCAGCTAAAAATTAAGTAGGAATATTTCCTCATTCTTTTTTCTGCCAAGAAAAGTTGCTGCTAAATTCTCAACTGAAACATGCTATAGAGTTTTCTTTTGGTTGTGTAAAATAGGGAAAGACAAGGAGTTGGGATGAAAGACTGTTAGCAGCACTGTGAAGATTCCTATAGAAAGTTATGAAAAGTCAGGACCCTATAAATATAAAAAGTGTTAACCAACACCACAGAAATAACAACTGCTGCGAACAGAAAGGAAAAACGGCTTGAGAATAAGCAAAGAATGTAACTGCCTTCTCTTCCTCATCAATCTTGTGCATTTTCCTGTTGAGATTTTCCCAGACATGAGGATGAATCAGTCTGTGCAGAAGATAGAAAAAAAAAATTTGCAAAGGGAAGCCCATGTAGCAGGCAGGCAGGAAAATATTAAAATGGTAATGATAATGGCCAGAGGCTGAGGCCTTCCCTTTTGATCATGTCAGCAAAACAGCAATTCCAAACAGGCTGGTGGTTTTTTTTCAAAAGCAGTCCATACACAGTGGGCACTGAGAAGTCTAAAAATTCTTGGGTTTTTATCCTTTTCCCAAACAGGGAATCAGATGAAAAATCATGCACAACCTTCTGTCCTTATTTCTTAACACAAATTTTCTCAAAAGCACAATCTGTCCAGTCTTCCAACATCTAAATTTACTTAGGACACAACATCTTAAAGACAGGTTACAGCCCTATCCTCCCTTCATTTCCCCCACACTAGCTGCTGTTCAGTGGATCACATTGCTTCATGCTCTGAAACAAGATTCTAACTTATTCAGCACAACTAAATCGGTAGCAATGCTCATAAAACTGTGAATTCCATGGCATAACATACAGCCAAACTACAATGCTTTGATGGTACAACTATCAAAACAGAAATAGAAAAGAACATCTTAAATTTAAGGACACCCTGAATAAGCTGAATTTTCTTCACAGTTTGATATAGAAAAAAACCAGGCAAATTATTTTTTGGGAAAGATTCAATTATAAATCACATACTTGTACTTTTGTAAGCTCTTAGTTTACCAATAGAAAACTAAAGTACTAGAGAAGGAAAATGATAGAATTATCCCAACAGCCTCCCTTACAGAAGGACGCTTACATGGAGCAATAAATAAAACAGAAAAAAATATATCCATCAAGAGCACAGATATTCAAATGGCCATATTCTCAGACATGCTTTTGATATTTTTAAAGGAATATCAGAATATTAATTAATTAGAAATTAATATCAGTATTAGAAGACATCAGACAGTGCTACCAGGTAAATCTCAGAGTACTTTGTTAATAAGCAAACTTATAATGTGCTCAGTTAGGGGAAGCTGGAACTTTGGTTTATAAAATCCAAGCAACTTTAATTCAGTAGCTGACACCACAGTCTCCTGGATTTCAACCATAGCATGTTGGTTTTTGGATCTGCCATCCTCTATACAGAAACAGAAAAGTTATATGAATACAACCCAGTGACTGTGTTTCACACAGGGAAAATAAGAAATGAGCTTGGAATGATGTAGACAAAAATAAAACTCCACCATGGAGAGAGATTACCTTAAGATACCTGCTGAGGTATGAAACCATCAATCACATTAAAAATTCTTAAGACACCCAGAGACCTGATGATTTTTATAATATAGAAGATAAAGGCATTGTAATGGTGAAGAGACACTTTGCTGACCATGAAAAGGTTAGTGAAACATGGAATTCTCTGTATGTGCATACACAGCAAGTCTGTATCTATGCCTTTTCATTTCAGTTAATACCATGCTTCAAAGCTATTCAAAACTGTTTTTAAATATAAAGTGCATTTTGAGATTTATTTTCTGCCCTTGAGCACAGTGACACTTTGAAGATATCATTAGTTAAAATTCTAAGCAGGCTTCAAAGTTAGTACAAGACGCAAGACAGTCCATGAACAACAATTCTGCAGCTCAGGGAGTCCTTCAATGAAATTCCAGTCCATTCTCCAACTTCACAAGAAAAATGACCTTCACAAAATGTCACTGCTGGCAGGCAATGTGATTATTAAAAATGTATAGACTAAGCAACAAAATCTGAAAGGGCATGAAGTCCAAGCAGCAGTGCAATTCTCAACACAAGTTGCTAAAAATAGTTGTTTCAAAATATATATGTTTATATTTATTACTGCAGATGGACCTCTACAAACAAGGAAATGTTTTCATGTTTTCATGTTTGCAGGCTGACTGGACTGGATGAATGTAACCAGAAAAAGCTGCTGCTAAGTAAACCACTGTTACAGTGACATCTGCTCTTGAAATTAGCAACTGTATAGTCCACTTCTGGGATGTCCTCAAATAACATGACTTAACATGTGTCCTGAACAGGAACTGAAATCACCAACACATTGGGAAGCACACTCTAAATTTGCTATACATATATGAACGAAATCAGCAATGCTGCAATCTGTAACAACTCTTTTTTTCACTTAACAAGGTACCAAAGTGCAGGTGGCCAGGTTTTCTCATACTTCTTTCAATATTTTTTGTTTGAAGGAAGGGTGGAAGAGGCACATCAAATCTAGATTTTCATATGTGTCCAGATCAGGAGTTAACAGTTGGGTACCAACACTTGCCTCCATGGAAACTATTAAGGAATTTGTAACTCAGCACCTTCACATTTTACCAGTACTCTAGCAAGGCTGAATTAAGACTGTTCAACCTTGTTTCATGGGCAATTTTTTTGTTGGTAGTCTCACCATCAGCCAGCTGTTGCACGCTGCAGGGGGCCATAGTGTTGGCACAGGATGAATCACAAATCAAGGCTGTTGCCCTCGGCTCTCTTACAACAGCAGTGATGACACTGTTGGGCAGATGCAGGAAAAAATGATGATGTTTCGTTCAGAGCTGTCACACTGATGCCTTAATCAGGACTGAAGCTTTACATTGATTCCTGAACCTGAGGCTGATGACTCAAGTAGGTGGAAAATACTGGAGCAGAACTGCATAAAACACTACAATGATACCAGAAAGCATTTCTGATGGATAAGCTGGTAGTGCAAAGAAAACAGGTCCATATAGGAGTGAGTTGGAAGAGAGGGGTTCCACAGAAACACAAGTTCTTGGAAGTAAAAGCCAGAGTACAGGAGAAAGACAAATGTGGGAAGTCCAGCTTGAAGGTTGCAAAGAAAGGCAAGGTTTGTAGTTTAGATAGGACAAGGGAATGTGGGAAGAAGAATCTAAAGTGCAAAGGCACAATTGCAGGAAATCCAAGCAGTAGGATTCTCACAAGGGGAGAAATGAGAATAGCGTGAGGGCAAGTGAATGAAGTGATGGGATGGAAAACAGCAAGGAGGTTGGAACCTAAGGAATTTTAAGTTCCCTTTAAACCCAAACCATTCAATGGTTCTGCAAAGAAAGACTGCCCAAGGCAGCCTTGACAGAAAGTAGATAAGGGAGAAACTCAGGAGAAGCAAAATGGGAAGACAAGAGATGACAGAAGTGTCAGGATGTGGGGGACCCATGGAGAGAAACAATGGGATTGAAATAAAATGCTGGTTTCTACTCCAAAAAGGAGTAGAGACAGACAATTTCATTATTTAGGATTTACTAAGAACATCTATGAGAGCAGTATCTCTTATATTTCATTGCTATATGAATAAATGCAATTGATTTTAAAGCACATTTTTGATTGTTTACAAAGTGCCTTTTTATTGGAGTTAGGGCATTATGCTCCCAAACCAACTGGTATATTTTTAGATATCTTTGACGTAGTTGCGGTTGCTTAACAGATGGCTCACTGCCAATTGGTTTCACAGAGTTCTCTGCTGCTTCACTGCCTTTCTTTGCCTCCACATAAATTGTTAGTTCAGCTTCTAACCTGTGGAAACCTCCCATGCAGTTATTGGAGGATATACCTAATGCAGACTGATTTAATTAAAAGACCTAGGACTACTCTTCTGGAAACGTTCAGAAACTCCTTATCTTTGTCTTTCAGGTATTAAGCATAGCAAAGGTTGACCTCAATAGTAAGCAATGATCTGAGACCTTTCATATACACTGCAGCTGGTTTTAGGCTGTAATATCGTTTTACTTCTTCAACTAAAATGCAAATATGAGACTCAGAAATCATAATAAATTCAATTAAATTAAGATGACAGAGCCTCTGTGGAAAATATTATTTCTGTTGAACAAGTTAAAATCTATGACTCTGCATAGTATATAATAGAGCTATAAATGCAAATTAATGGACAAATTTGCAGATAATTTATGTTTAACAGATTACAGCATTAGCATCAATAAGATTTAATTACCTATTTGAGCTTTCCACTGCAAGCTGAAATCTTGGAAGGGCTTTACCAAAGAAATACCTATATAACCTCTGCAACAGAGCTCACAGACCACACAAGAGGAAAGAAAAACTAGAGAATAGATCAGTCAAATATGCAACAATGTCTGTCAACCAGTTGTGTAAGAAGCGTGCACTTCAGGAATAAAAATTGCATATCAGCCTGAAGATGAGATGCCTTCTTCAAAGTTATTCAGAATTCCTCTGCTGGAGAGTGCCAGTAATTTTTATTCACAAATCAGCTATTTCAGGTAATTGTCTACTTCCCTACTCTTGTTTTGCAGGGAGAAAATAGAGCTTACATGGAGCTAGAGTGATCAGAGCTTCTCATCAAAAAAACCACTAATCTATTTTTTCTACATGAACAATAAGAAATACAGGTTTTCAGCAGCTGGTTTCTTTCAATATATTGGAAAGTTTTTTCGATAAGGATTTTAACTTATCTCAGTTTCATCATTATGTGATGTCTTTCCTTGAATTCTTCCTGTTCTTTACCACCAATAACCTGTACGGTGATATTGTCTCTTTTTTTTTTTTTTTTTTTTTTTTAATGGATAAGGCATGACAGGATTTGCAGTCTTTGATGTTTTCCAAAATCAAATTTCT